AACACGTCTAGGAACATAGAACAGATAATCAATTGGCGCTCGCGTCTAAAAATAATGTAAAAAAAAGGAGAAAAAATGTATTTCGTTAAGTGTCGTTTCGTGCGAATAGAATGGATCAAATGCGTCATGAAGTAATGTGTTATATATACGGGAACTTCACGCTACCGAGTTTGCGCTCGATATTAAATCCCACATGACCTATTCCACGTAGTCGCACCCTAACAGGCATTTCGCAAAGTCGTTAATAACTTTTTTAGCACGTCCCTTCTTTCAATGCTCCATGCCATTAGTGAAATAGTCAGAACTCCACCCATTTGCTACATGTTGGCAAGACTATTCGTATTCCTTCACACTCGTGACACGAATCTATTCAGTTCAACCGGATTATTTTTCTTTCTCGTGTGTACTCTCAAATGATAAAAAGTATTTCACATTTTTCACTCATAAAAGCATGTTGAAAGCGTCGTTTCAAAATTAAAAAAAATTAACTCAATTAAACCTACGTTATTGAAAGACATCATTATACTTTTTATTTTCACATTACTTTTCTTTTTCATTTTTATATTGATACATATATTTCCATAACAATCCTGAATAACTATTATGTTAATGATTAATGATTAAAATCTTTTTATCTATAAACTTTCTTCACTTGCATTAATCTAATAACTGTTGACATTTATAATTTTATAATGATATTAACTATCGTTTATTTCACGTTAGCTTTTATGTCATTTTGTAAAAGAAAAGTGTATTTACAAAGTACTTATTATCATCATGTTACACGCTACGTTATCTGTAATATATGGTAACAAAGAAACGAGACATGTGAGATATATAATTATATCATTCTTTATATCCGAGGGGACTGCAAAAATTCACACAATCGTCCGCTTTTATTACTTATGCAAAAAAGAAATTAAATTTCGAGAATGTTAAGCCCCCATGTGCGCTGCTCATCTTCAGCTGTTACAAAAACAGATGTTCACTAGCGACTTACAACCAAGTCACAAAGGTTGACAGACGATGCGCGCGTATATCGACGGGTCTATATTCAAATCGCCCTCTTTCACCAGCCGCGGTAACAGATGTTCGTCGCCCATCGATCACGATGATTCTATTTTTGCACTGACGCTTCTTTCGGAACGCTCACACTTGGATAAAAGATCTATCGATTAGCGGCATTGCACTTTCGTAACGTAACGAAATAATTACTCTTTAATGAGGCCTGCTAACATCATAGCGAACTCAAACGAAAGAGTACCGGCATTTTTTCGTACCCAAGTTCGCAGCATGATTTAATTATCAACTGTTGATTAATGAAGCGTACAACTTCCGCCAAGTTTTACTCGCGGAAACGAGTGAAGAAGAAGATCGATCGCTAAATGCGCTACACCTCGCCTTGCCTTGACTCGCTATCGAGCGGCAGCTCGACAAATGAGTTAACACACTTGTATCATAAGGCCACGAATCGTTTATAGTAAAAGCGAAGTTAATGGCGCGACACAGTTACAACGCTAAAGAATAATTGAATAAGCCATTACAAAGAAGGGAATATGAATAGAAGGTTGCTTTGTCTCTCTTTCCCTTTGCGCTCGATGTTATCACCGACGTCGCGTGATAAATATTTTAGTTTTACTACGTCGTTCTCGAATTTTTCAAAGCTCACTATTTATATGTCAAACTGTAGAAAGTAAGATATTTTATAGACGAGATGTAGTGTTAATTTGCGCGCTCTTCCATCATCGAGATTGAATACTTTGGGATAGATGGAATTACATCGCAGTCTTAACAAGATCGACTTGAAGCGCCCTGAACGAACAAGCTCGCGATGATCGCGATGGTCTGAGCGTTTCAGGACACTGATATGCGCGATCGTAAGGGTAGTCGTGGCATCACTCGCAGTAGTAGTAGTAGTCGACGATGGCGATGGCCGTGGGATAAACTTAGGCATGTTTGCCGAGCAATCAAATATATGAGTGGAAAGTCTCGCGGGCGTTATCGATCGGTCGAAACCCACCGTGATGGTAGCGTGCGAGCGGCGGCTGAAATTCAGGGAAGAAGAATTCGGGACGAAACGGCCCGGGGGTGAAAGAGAGAGAGAGAATCAGGGGAAGACCACGAAACTTTACTCGTTCGCCGTGAACGAAGAGCCTGTCTTTCAGCGAACAGTCTGTCTACTGTTTGTTGTTGGACGTTATTCGTATGAGGAAGGCGGAAGAAGAACGGCAAACATAGTCTTCGAGCCGAGACAGAAAGGAGCCGCCGGAATAGTCATAGCTATTGTTACATATTCCTGCGCGGTTTCTTTTTTTACAAACTTAAATCAGCAGATTTATCCAACTAACTTTATTTAAATTGGAACCCCAAAGTCAACTATATATCGATTAATTATACGATATTTTCGAGTTATCTCGTGATTTTTATCTTCAATAATAACGATCCTATGTATGTATGTGTGCTACTTTCTTATAATCTAACATATGTTTACAGTTTTCATAATAAAAGAAATAAATTTTTAAATACTTTCATATGTTCTATATATGTTATAAAATATATATTTTAGAGAACATTTTATATATTAGATCGCAATTTTTATATTCATATAATTATATTGTGTGAAATATTTTATATATTTTTTCTCTTGATATCTCCTAGTCAGAAACATGACATATTGATCCTCTCGTACATACATACGTATACATATACGCATATCCGATGTCAACTGCGAGGATACAGCAAAGTTTCGTGAAATTCGAGTCCTTTATTTTTGCGCGAGCTTGCATCCCGCCGATGCGAGAAGCGCCGAAGAAAAATCTCAAGTGCGCATCGTTTTCGAGAGGCTGAGAAGGGAAAGACGGAAAAGGAACGCTTTGAAAGCTCCGGCGAATTCTTCCATTGGCCGTATACATATATGTGTCTTCAGGATTTGGCAACGAAATCTCGTACGTTTCGTTCGATATGGTCCTCCAGAAATTTCGCTCATTTTCCTGTCACGAATTTCCTCGCGAGATGCATAATGATAATCGCAAATGTTGTTTGCTTAAATCCTGCGGATTAATACGATAAAAGCGAAATAATATCGAATTTACCGATATCGAATTAATTTATTACGTATATTTGTAAACGAGATTGTGCCAATTGTATGTATTTGCGTGCACGCGCATTAGTGGAGATCTCGATCCTGGTTAAATATTCGAGTTTTCGAGATTCAAAGGCCTGATTAATGTAGCGGCATGAGGTTGACATGGCGACATTATCATCGCTACAATGGACGCCAGGTGTTTCAGACAGGAAGGGCTAGAGAGGCAAGGAGTATAATGCCGTCAAGCAACGCCACTTAATGAGCTGCCGGGAACAAAGCGGGAAGAACCGCTTTGTCATTTTTTTTGTGCTCCAATTACTTAGCGTTTTAGAACAGTTGTATGTGATTATCTTATCTTTATTTCGCTTCATCTAATACATCATATCCGACATGTTCCATCACGCAAAATTAGTAAATGATATAACATAGCTAATACATCATTTTCGCATTTATCGAGCATGACGTATAATTCATTCGCGTGTAACATTTTCGTATAATAATGTCATAAAAAGTTTTGAAACTTGATATATTGATCGAAAGCCTAAGATTGTCCGCCTGTTCCAATTTTCTTGTCGTCCAAGCAAGGAAGGGATTTCGAAACTGAATGTCGAAGACGATAGGGCTGTGCTGAGATCAGAGGAAGGTCCAAAGTTTAGGAAAGGGACGAGAGAGAGGGTACGTTATCGTGTCATACTTCAGCAGATAAAGGGGATGGGCGCGCCCTCTTTTCGCCCTAATTCCCTTCAATCCTGATCCGTCCCATCTCCCAGAAGCATATCGCAATCGAGTTTCGTTTATTTTTCAAGAGGCGCTCGCTCGACAGAAATTGGCGAGTATATTGAGCGATATTCGATCCTCGAAAAGGTTAATCTCATTTTTAAAAGCTCTGCCGCGTTACGAAATTCTCGCGCAGTTAAACTGCAGTGTGTTTCAACCGACTGTGACTGTAACACGATTACGTTAAATTTGATTACAGCTTCCATCGATTGATATTTTACGAGGTGAAAAACTCGAGACGCCGATTGAACCCAAATTCGCGCGCTCTCTATCTATAAAATTCAATGTTCTCTGAAAAAAAAGGGGAAAAAAAACTAAAACAATACCGCGGCGTAAAATCGTTCGTCGTTTATCGGATGTTGCCCCTACAATCTCTGCAGGCGAGAAACTCCTCCAAGTTTCTTCCCGCGTCGGGAAGTTTATTTTCGAACAAGTCCTTTTCAATAAACCGGATGCGACGATCCAATGGATTATCCCGCTTATACGACACGCGCAAACGATGACAATGATTGTCGAGTATCATTCTCTGGCGACGATACAAATAGTTATTGCACGAAACCGCGGCCACAGCATCGCGTCGTCCCGGATTACGAAGCGCTTGTCCGCGCGAGAGGTAAACATCTTTTATTAAAGTGCACGTTGCGCTCCGCTGGCGCGTCAATTTTTCAAAGGGCCCCCGAGCTCTTTGTCTTCGCCGTGTCTCCATCTAACTACCGGCGATGAGCGCACGTGGCAGCAGGCGGTAGGAGAGCGATTAATCGTTCCATCATTGTCGCGGGAACGGCCTCGCGGAAACGGAACTTCTTTTGCTCTTGCGCATCTTCCTCTCTCTCTTTCACAAAGATAAAAGTATATTTTTGCTTCCTTCCGGATTCAGAGTGTGTGCCACAGAAATTTATCCGACAAAGGAAGGAAAGCCGTCGTCACTTACAGCGCTTCTTCCAGCAAATGAATATCGAACGCCACGAGTTCTATTTAATCTCTCATTTCGCGATAGTTTTTATTCCATTCTTTCATGCATAGTATATATATATCTATATTTTTGAATAATTAAATATTTGAAAAACTATGGTAATATTAGTTATGCGTGAGATCTATTTTTAGACTTTAGTGACCCTTGTTCCTCTCTTTGTTTCAGGCTGTGCATTTGTGAAACTCTCGTCGCACCAAGAAGCACTGGCGGCGATAAACTCTCTACACGGTAGCCAAACTATGCCGGTGAGTATATTACGTGTAATATATTCCATATACGTCGATCGACCTCCTCTCTTCGATCGAAGCTCGTTATTTTTTTATCTCGCGATCCACCTCTTCAGCCGATGACCGCTAGTCATCGTGTTCACGGACGCCGGTGCGTATTTACGCTCGGAAAATGTCACGTACGCGATATTAACGGAAAGGAGGGTAAATATTCATAGAAGCGCTACACCTGACCGAGGAGAGAAGGGGGCTTGCGGGGGTGCTGATATGAATATCGAGGGATAGAGATGCGCGCCGGACAGTAGATAAGCGTCTTCCGTTAACGGGAGGGAGGAGAAGGAGGTTGACTGGGAGATCGGCCAGGGTAGCCGTAGCAATGGCTGTCGTGCCTGCAAACACCCCAGTAATGACTGGCCAAACAGAAATCTGCATAACACTTGGAGAAGCGTTTCTCTCTGCTCCGCAAGCCCTCGGAGAGAGAGGCGTCCCTCGGTCTCCGTCAAACCGCCGAACTTTCTCGGCTTAGGGTCGTACCAGGAATTCCCAGTTGTAATTGAATTGTCAGTGAGTTCCGTCCAGGATTCCACCTGCTGATTGGCGAAACTTTGCAAAGCCGCTTGCCGGACCCCCCGATCGTCCTTGTCGGCGTTATTGCCTATCGACCGACGGCTGACATGCATTGACGCGCCTAAGGGAGTTTGCATCTCAGACAATTATTAGACCTATAATGTACAATTGAGGATTTATATGGAACTATATTGCTTTTACCTTGTCTATCATTTTATAGCACTCGGAATTAATCGTTTCTATTGATTATAGGTTGTTTATAAAAGAGAAAGGGAAATAGTTCAATATTAAAAGGCTTAATATGCGGTTCGAAATCAAAGAAATGATTCAGTAGTGATTTATTTAAGGAAAATATATTAGCTTTTCATCATTTTTACATACATCCAGTAATATATTTTTATTATCTTGACTTCAGACAATTATTAGACCTATAATGTACAATTGAGGATTTATATGGAACTATATTGCTTTTACCTTGTCTGTCATTTTATAGCACTCGAAATTAATCGTTTCTATTGATTATAGGTTGTTTATAAATGAGAAAGGAAAATAGTTCAATATTAAAAGGCTTAATATGCGGTTCGAAATCAAAGAAATGATTCAGTAGTGATTTATTCAAGGAAAATATATTAGCTTTTCATCATTTTTACATACATCCAGTAATATATTTTTATTATCTTGACTTCAGACAATTATTAGACCTATAATGTACAATTGAGGATTTATATGGAACTATATTGCTTTTACCTTGTCTATCATTTTATAGCACTCGAAATTAATCGTTTCTATTGATTATAGGTTGTTTATAAATGAGAAAAGAAAATAGTTCAATATTAAAAGGCTTAATATGCGGTTCGAAGTCAAAGAAATGATTCAGTAGTGATTTATTCAAGGAAAATATATTAGCTTTTCATCATTTTTACATACATCCAGTAATATATTTTTATTATCTTGACTTCAGACAATTATTAGACCTATAATGTACAATTGAGGATTCATATGGAACTATATTGCTTTTACCTGGTCTGTCATTTTATAGCACTCGAAATTAATCGTTTCTATTGATTATAGGTTGTTTATAAATGAGAAAGGAAAATAGTTCAATATTAAAAGGCTTAATATGCGGTTCGAAATCAAAGAAATGATTCAGCAGTGATTTATTCAAGGAAAATATATTAGCTTTTCATCATTTTTACATACATCCAGTAATATATTTTTATTATCTTGACTTCAGACAATTATTAGACCTATAATGTACAATTGAGGATTTATATGGAACTATATTGCTTTTACCTTGTCTATCATTTTATAGCACTCGAAATTAATCGTTTCTATTGATTATAGGTTGTTTATAAATGAGAAAAGAAAATAGTTCAATATTAAAAGGCTTAATATGCGGTTCGAAATCAAAGAAATGATTCAGTAGTGATTTATTCAAGGAAAATATATTAGCTTTTCATCATTTTTACATACATCCAGTAATATATTTTTATTATCTTGACTTCAGACAATTATTAGACCTATAATGTACAATTGAGGATTTATATGGAACTATATTGCTTTTACCTTGTCTATCATTTTATAGCACTCGAAATTAATCGTTTCTATTGATTATAGGTTGTTTATAAATGAGAAAAGAAAATAGTTCAATATTAAAAGGCTTAATATGCGGTTCGAAATCAAAGAAATGATTCAGCAGTGATTTATTCAAGGAAAATATATTAGTTTTTCATCATTTTTACATACATCCAGTAATATATTTTTATTATCTTGACTTCAGACAATTATTAGACCTATAATGTACAATTGAGGATTTATATGGAACTATATTGCTTTTATCTTGTCTATCATTTTATAGCACTCGAAATTAATTATTTCTATTAATTATAGGTTGTTTATAAAAGAGAAAAGAAAATAGTTCAATATTAAAAGGCTTAATATGCGGTTCGAAATCAAAGAAATGATTTAGCAGTGATTTATTCAAGGAAAATATATTATCAATCAAAATTAATATTGGACGCTAGTGGTGAAAATAAACTTGGCAAAATTGATTTCGACGTAATTAGCAATTTTATTCAATACTTTCACGACGTTTCGACCATTTGATTGTGGTCCTTATCAAGTGAGAATTCTATAACACAATATTACACAATAGTTTTTAACAATGTTGAAACATACAAGAACATATTTAAATAAGATCGGTTTTATGTTGCGTTAATCTCATTTTAATTGATAGGTATGTTTGTGTTTGTGGTCATAACTTAACATTTAAATATGTTCTTGTATGTTTCAACATTGTTAAAAACTATTGTGTAATATTGTGTTATAGAATTCTCACTTGATAAGGACCAAATGGTCGAAAAAACGTCGTGAAAGTATTGAATAAAATTACTAGTTACGTCGAAATCAATTTTGCCAAGAAAATATATTAGTTTTTCATCATTTTTACATACATCCAGTAATATATATTTTTATTATCTTGAGAGCGACGCAAAACACGAAACATATGAAACCGTCTTTTTGTGTTGTTATTAGAGAAGAGTATCCATCATATTTCATGTTCTTGTATATGTTGTGTGTGAGATTATTAGGAAGGGAAGATGGCGTCACTTTTGATATTCGACACAAGGGATTGACGTCGTACGTGAAACGCGCGTACGTGCGCTGGGCGAAATCGCGGGGATGGAAACGCGGGTTGGTTACGTGAATATTACTCGTTACAACGCCCTAATCTAATAGCCGAATATGGGAAGACGAAGAACAGGAGGGGAGGGAGGCCACTTCAGGACCGCGACTATTTACCTAACGAAAGAGGTACTGACAGCGCACGCGGGCCGTAATATGCAGATTGCTTAATTATCGCGACGAATTATGCAAATCTCGACGCCGATGTTACGAGATTTCACAGTCGTGGCCGAGGGGTTGAGAAGCGAGAAGGCGAAAGCGGCAGCGAGTGTCGGTGTTAACGCTTTCGCCGAAATGCCGACCTTCGACCCTGAATTATTCGACCCAGAAGAGATACGAAAGGCACGTGATAGCGTTCTACGCGGGCGGCTTAATTATTGCGGCGAATTATGCAGATCCTGACGTTATGAAATTTTGCGCGGCACGAAGGAGAGGAGCGATGACGAGAAAGAGAGGCACCGTTTGCGTCAAACAAATTTAACGTCAGCGAATTATACGAGCGTGATTTACGGGTAAAAATTTTAAATACCAGCGTTTCGTCTTCTTCAATTTGTTCGCGGCCATAAAAAATAATGTAATTCAATATCTCAGCTCGATATCTCACAGTTTATCTAATAACACGTTTGTGTGAAGATACATGTAATGTATTTTGATTTTACCCTCGCTTTGAAAATACGGCAATAACAGGCAGCGGATAAAAAAATGTATCCGCTCTCTGTTTGGCCAATCAATATAAATCTTTCGTAGAAAACAATCGTTATCGCGAAGGACGCGATGTTATGGAGCCCCAAGAGTAATTCGGCTTGACTATGTTCGTTCCAGTTTCCTCTGACCTGGCGCAAGATCACAACCCCTCCCAATTTTCCCTCGTCCTATCTATTCGCTCGCACACTTACAGAAGCATCGATCTATATAGGTACGTATGTGTGCGCGCATAAAAATGCCGAATATATGTACGATCGTACACGTATGTCATCTCGCGTGTGTACCCTCTGCTTTCAGCCACTCGAACACGTCGACACTCTCGGTCACGAAACTGCATTACGAACGCAACATCTCGGCTCATACCTACGAAATGAGATATTGATTTGCAATCTGATACTGTAATACGCGACGACGCGCTGTCGGCCTGCAGACGACATACTGGCTCGTAGTGGAAGCGTGAAATCGTAACACCTTATGAAATCTACATGATGTAGGTACACAATATGAACAATCATTTCAATTTTTTCTCTTTTTTTTCATCACAAATACACACGTTAACGCATCGATTCCTTTTTTCGCAATTATTTCTTACACGAGTTTAATTCGCAACGACTTACCTAACTTTAAATTTCGATAAATATAAATTTGATGGCAATATATATAAATTAGAAAACTATACATATATATTTAATAAAATTTTACATTACGCTCTTATGTAATTTCGAAAATTATATATGTATTTCGTACACCTACTATCACGAGAACAAATTTGTACTAGGAAGCATTATAAACATAATTTATTTTCTAATTTGTGATAAACAAACAAGATTATATCATCATCAATATATTATTGCAATGTAAATATGAAGTTTAAACGCAATGATAAATTACGTTACACATTTTCCATCGAAAACGCGATATTTTTAATAGATACGCCGTACGTAGTCGCGCGAGATTAATATCGCAATATTTTTGCTGATAACGCAAAAACATTATTATAAAACCTCTGTACTGTAAGCGCATTTTATTTCGTTTTCAGAAGTGGTTTTAATGCGATTTAT